GATCAGGTCTGGACCAGAGGACTGTGAGGATCAGGTCTGGACCAGAGGACTGTGAGGATCAGGTCTGGACCAGAGGATCAGGTCTGGACCAGAGGACTGTAAGGATCAGGTCTGGACCAGAGGATCAGGTCTGGACCAGAGGAATGTGAGGATCAGGTCTGGACCAGAGGACTGTAAGGATCAGGTCTGGACCAGAGGACTGTGAGGATCAGGTCTGGAGGTAACAGGTCCAGGACCACCTCTGTGTCAGTAAAAGCAACAGCAGAGTCACGTCTAACAATCTGTTTGTCTTCAGGTGAATTAAAGATGGCCGCCGCGGCTAACTGACGTTAGCGTTAGCACAGCAGGTTCTCACACTCATCTCCTCCTGATTACAGCTTTCTGAGACTCCTCTCATCCTTTACTGCTTAAACTGGATTAAAGTTTGTGATTTGGGTCTGTGTACATGTGTACTGTGTATTGTGTATTGTGTATTGTGTCCTGTGTACATGTACACAAAGTGAATACTCCTGAGAACATCACAGAAATCTGTTTCACCAACTCAAACTGATCAGAGACACAAACAGACGTGGTTCAGTCAGAGACCGGGTGGACCGGACCCTGCAGGGGTCGGGGTCCCGCGCTCACCGTAGGCGGTCCCAGGACCGAAGTCATTCCCGGACTCGATCATGGTCTGGCCCAGCAGGTCGTGGTTGTTGACTCTCAGTGGGGCCTTCTTCTCCAGCTTCTCGTACAGAAACTCCTCCAGCCGCACGTCTGGAGGGGAGGAGAACCATCACGTCATGAGACCACCGGCCTGGACCAGAACCACAGGCCTGGACCAGAACCTCAGGCCTGGACCAGAACCTCAGGCCTGGACCAGAACCAGAACCACAGGTCTGGACCAGAACCAGACAACCTGACTTGAATTTATTTGTTAAAAGTCGACTTAATGATTTAATTTTTAAAAGAAACGGAAAAAAAAAACCTGCAGCCGAGTTTATCTGCAGAGAGAACAGATGATGTGTGTGTGTGTGTGTGTGTGTGTGTGTGTGTGTGTGTGTGTGTAGCTCAGGACTTCCAGTCAAAATAAAACAAAAAAAAACTAAACTAAAAACATGCTTTTGCTGCTCATATGGGTAGAGCAGTGGTACTGCAGGCTCCCCACAAACACACACACACACACACACACACACACACACACACACACACACACACACACACACCAGCTATGACTTTTGTGCTTTTGGATTCACACATTTGATTATGT